TAAATGATGGTGAGTATTCCTTTTCTACGGATTTAGATTTCATTTAGATTGCATTTTAAGTGGCTTAACACTTTTTATTTTAAAATATTCACATTTACATTAAGTAAAAAATTACATGTTTTGCAACTAAGGTCAAAATATTTTACATGCCAACTTAAAAACTATTTCAGGGGTGTGTCAGCAAAAGTATGAAAACCATTACCTTATCCCTATGGGCTTATCCACTGAGATCAGGTTGGGACACGGTTGGTTATTCCACTGGGTGAGAAGTCAGCAGTCAACTGGAGTAGTCCTGCTCCCATCTTCATCAGACCATTTCTCCAATACTGATTTCACCTCTTTTGTAGGACATTCTGGGGCCTCTGGTAAACTGTAGATTCTGTCCCCAAAACGCCCTGAATGGGTCAGAACAACGTATCAGTTAAATCAGTTCCAATGCTATTCTGTACCCAAGACTGTAAGTCAAAATGTGTTCTACTGCCATCTCAAACTATGTCCTGTCAGCTTGTCCAGCATTATCAGAACTTCTAAAATATGATCAAATACTTTAATAACTAAGACCCAACAAGATATTCTCAATTTGATTTTGACCCTCTCCCAATATTAATTTTCCAGAGAAAAATTACAAGTTTAGAGATTAAATCACTCTGTCCTTCTAAATTAGAGCCCAAAGTAATCAGTACCAACTTCATGTTAAAGTCCAAAATCATTAATGGACAACATTGAACTCTTTTACTCTGTAAATTAAAGTTTAAACAACAGGCTTTGTCACTCCCTGGAAGTGAACTTAGCTCCCAAACCTGAAACTTCCCTTCCCCCAGGGAGCTGATGCTGTTCAGCTTACTCCAAGCCTCCCTTGGCAGGAGCAGACTCATATGAAACTTGTGTGAGGTAGCAGAGGAGAAAGCACACTTTCCATGAACAGGATGGCTCCCAAGAGAAAGGGGAAAGTAAGAAGGTGGGCTGCCCATGAGCCAAACTTACACATCAGGAAACTCACTGGGGGCACTGGAACAGAGCATCGAATGACAGACTTGTGGCACTCCTATGTTTTAAGAAATGTGTGATATGGAAAAAAAAATTCTCTATTCCCTAAAATGGAAAAAAATTACAATGATCTCTCTTATTTAAGAATTATTTATTGAATATCATGGTGCAAACTTCTGAGCTAGGTTCACTGGGAAATGTATAAGTAAGTCAGAGCTGGACACTGCCTACCAACCAACCATTAATATTTCTAACACAATTATTATATACATCAGTGACTCATATTTTAGATTTTTCTTATAAAACCACCCTATTTCCAGTACCAGTTTTTGTGTTAGTATACAAAAGTTGATACCAAACAACTCCAAATAGCTCAGTGACTGAGAACAGCAGAGATGTACTTCTTATTCATATACCTATGTGTGTTAGCTGGGAGCTCTTTTCTACTTTGTCCTTTCTCTGAGACCCTGCCTGATAGAAGTCTACACAATTGGAAACATCATTAGAGTAATAATTAAAGATGGCCACATTTTCCTGGAACTCTGTGGTTGACAAAAATTTTTGTAATAAAGATGGTCACAGATTCTTTGTCGCTCTTCCTCCACCCCTATCAAAGTGTTTATTTCCCCTCCACTTAAAACTGAGCTGCCCCTGTGACCACTTTTACCAATATAATGTCATTTCCAGGTCTAAGACTTACAAAACCTGGAAGTTTTTGCTTTTCTACACTTTAGAATCCTAAGCCACCATACAAGTCAGGCTACTCTACTGAAGAAGCCATGTGAATCAGCGAGTCTTTGGAACAGCATAGGTAAATAGAAAGGCTCAGCCATTCTAGCAACCCAGCTGAGTCTCCAAATACTCTAGCCCCAGACAATACTGGCTGGAACCACAAGGCAGACCCTAAGTAAGATCAGAAAACTGCCCATGAGCCTAGTCAACCCACAAAACCTAAACTGGTGACTGTTTTAAACCATTAAGATTTAAGGTGCTTTGTCATGGGACAATAGATAATTAAAATATTTAGCCACTGTGGCAGAAACAGAGAACAGGATGTTTACAGGATCTTAAAGCTTTTGTTTGGAAATGACACAAGTCATTTCCAATCACATTTTATTGGCCTTCTTGAGGTAAAAGGAGTAGGGAAATCTAAATCTACTTGCCTGTGGAAAAAGAAACAAAAATATTTGATTGCTAGTACTAGTATCTTCCAGAGAAAAGTCAGGCCAGAGATTACTAGTAAATCAGTAAATAGATGAAGTGTCAGGGGAAAAAAGCTAATAGGTGAAAATAATCTAGATGATGGATTCTTGTAGATGTGCTCTAGGCAATGTAGGTATATAAAGAGAAAAAGGAGGGTAGAAAGAAGTCCAAAAAAAGAGCCTTCACAGGGGAAAAGGGGAAATCTTGGGATCCAAAGGACAGTTTCAGCAACAGAAAAGTAAAGAACATAAAATAAAAGGCCAAATGGATGGCATAGGCAAAGAATACATAGAAATTTAAAGAAGACAGGTTAATGTGGGCTTAAACAGTTAGAGACTTTGGGTGGAGGCAGAATTAAGCAAAAGAATGGAAAGGTAATGGAAATTGTACGGTTGGAAATGAGAAGGGCACTCTCAGTGAGGAAACAGCATGAGTCAAGTCCTAGAGTGGGAAATGCACATAGCATAAAAGGGGCAAGGGACTAGGTATCATAAGGGGAAATGTATCATTTAATAGAGAGTATCTGAGGAATTGTTGCTGCAGAAGGGGAAGGCAGGGAAGCCATTCGGGGACTTATGGAGGCCACTGAGGGCCAACTGAGCTTTCTGAATTGTTCTCTTTACATTACAGAGCACCCCTGGAGATTGGTGTCTGAGCAAAGGAAATCAAAACACAGGTCTAGTCCCTTTGTATAGGAATGAAGTAGGAGAAAACTGACGGCAAGTCACCAGTCAGAAAGTTATTAAGGTATTCAAAGCAGAAGTATCCTATTGGGACAAGAGATTGTTACTTAGGGTGGAAAATAAGAACTCCCAACTAGCCCAGTTCAAGGGGCTTACAATGAGAATCAAAAAAAGCTCCGGTTTTGGAAAGGCTTCAACTGTGAAGAAGTCAGGAGATTTACTTTATCAAGGGTATAAAGGAAAACGTTTTACTTCCGTGGCAGCCAACGTTGGGTTAGCTACCTCACATTCTCCACCCCACTTCCGTGACGACATAACTTTAGTACTGTCCAATTCCTCTCTTCTCTCCAAACCAGTTGGAAAAGAAATCTATACACACATAATTCAGCCCCAAGGTAAATCCTAAGAGTCTAAGCCAGTGGTTCTCAACAAGCATCACACCTCTGGGGGGAGGAGAGGAAAAGGGCTGCTTTACGGTGTCACACTGCCTGAGGTGTGCTACTGATACTCATTTGGAAGGAACCAGAGATGCTGAATGTCCAGCAATACCCAATACGGTCCTGCATTAAGAACTGGAAAAGCCAGAAACACTAGGCAATCATGGATGTCCCATACTCCTTGTCTGTTACTGCTTTAGGGATAGCTAATAGCCCAGTTCTGGTCAATAAGATATAAGGAGTGGCCTGGTTCTGGGTGCTTTCTTCCTTCATATCAATGCTGTCCCAATTGTATACGGCTTTTGGAACTGCTATAGCTATCTTCTCCTCAAAACTACTTTCTTCTTTATCTTCCTATTTCCAACACTGGCACCTCCCATTTTTTGTTACCAAGTCCTAAAGCAATTTTGACTTCTCCTAACCCTTAACCTTAGGGTGACCATTCATTTAGGTTTGCCTGAGATAAACTGATTTAATAACTCCTCTTCTCTGGCTATAATTATTAATGCCCTATTTACTTCCAAAAGTGTTCCATATTGAAGGACAGAATATATATATAGTCACATCACCAACTGCATCACTCTTCAAGTACCTCTAATGCGGGGCTCGGCAATATGGCTTAAAAGTTGTTTTTGCACACCTCCAAGGCCAAAAAAAAAAAAGGTTTTTACATATTTAAATGATTTTTAAAATCAAAATAATATTTCATGATACCTGAAATTACATTAACATTTCAATGTCCATAAAGTTTTATCGGAACACAACCACACTCATTCATTGCCTATGGCTGCATTCTCATTACAAGGTAGAGCTGAGTAGTTTAGACACACTTAAAATATAATCTGGATCTTTACAAAAAATGTTTGCCAACCCCTGCTCTAATGCCTCCACTAGCTCTGCATCTCACCTCACGCACAAATACCCTAGTCTACTAACTGCTTTCCCACTCTTTCCCCTGCCTCTAATCCTTCAGACACCTGGTTGCTATATAATCTCTCTACAAGAGTGTCGACCCTGTCACTTGCCCCGTCAATATCCACAGTGGCTCCTCCAAAACCGACAGTGAAAGGTTCAAACAGTCAAGACAAGAGACAAGGGCAAGAGAGAACACGTCAAAAGAGTTGAGTGCATGAGGCTTCAGGGGTCACTTTCACACTGGAATTTTTAAGATGTGACAGGTTAAAAAGACTTCCCAAGTACATAAAACAAAAGCTGAAAATAAGCATGAATGATAAATAGACCACCTCAACCTGTCCCCTTCCCTATGGCCGCAGAAATTATGATTCAAGGAATAATGAGACCCTTCGTCTAAATCCTTTAAAATTCCAAAAGAGCAGCGAGCCAGCGTGAGCAGCACGTAGACTGCCGATGTAAGAGGAGCCCGGTGCGGGCTCTGCGCTTTCTCTCCGTTCCTGAAAAACTCCAGCTCGTCGCCAAAACTTCTCGCCGTTTCCTGGTCTGCGCGCCCACGCTGCCGGTTTCCCGATAAGAGCGACGGCGCACTGGGGAAAAGCAGATGCCCCTCATCGGTTTGCGCCTTGCAGTTCAACTGTGCCCGAGCCTCCCACAAACCACCTGCCCGCGCCCTTCGCTAGGCGTCCAGCCAACGCGCACGTGAAGCTCCCGGGCGGGGCCCGCGCAAGAAAGCAAGAGTTTGCAGAGGCAAACTCAGCCCTGGGAAGGAAAGCGATTCTGGGGCGCACGCGCAGAGACAGGAGACTGGGCGGGGCGTACGTCCCGCAGGGGTTACAGAGAAGAGAGCGCGTGGCGCTCCAGAGCTTGCGCACGCGTTGTGGTCTCGCCCCGCCCATGAGCGTGCGCGCGCTGCCGTCGTAGCATCTTTTCTTCAGACCCGCCCCCTTCTTCTACTTCACCTAGGGGAGGCTAGGAGCGAGAGCAGGGAAGTGTGGGGCGGGTAGGCGGGGCGTCGCACAGGAGCGCGGCCTGCGACCGAAGGGAGGGGGCGGGAGAGATCCGAGACAACGTTACCCCGTCAACACCCAATCGGGATCCTGCCTGACCCCGCCCCCCTCTCCTCATGTTATTGGCTGAGAGGCTCCATGGTGGGCGGGGCCGGCCGTGGGGTTGGGGAGGGCAGGGGGCGGGGAGGAGGAGGAAGGCGCTGGCGGGCAGTGATGGCGGCGGGTGATGGGGACTTGAAGCTAGGCACCCTGGGGAGTGGCAGCGAGAGCAGCAGCGACGGCAGCAGCGAGAGCCCGGGCGGCGCGGGAGCGGCAGCGGAAGGGGGCGGCTGGGCGGCGGCGGCGTTGGCTCTTCTGACGGGGGGCGGGGAGATGCTGCTGAACGTGGCGCTGGTGGCGCTGGTGCTGCTGGGGGCCTACCGGCTGTGGGTGCGCTGGGGGCGGCGGGGTCTGGGGGCGGGGGCCGGGGCGGGCGAGGAGAGCCCCGCCGCCTCTCTGCCTCGCATGAAGAAGCGGGACTTCAGCTTGGAGCAGCTGCGCCAATACGATGGGTCCCGCAACCCGCGCATCCTGCTCGCGGTCAATGGGAAAGTCTTCGACGTGACCAAAGGCAGCAAGTTCTACGGCCCGGGTGAGGAGTTGGAAGGGGAGGGGAAGGACCCCCTGCAGCTCAAGCACGACCCCCTTCGGACGGGGAGGCCTCTGGGCACCGGGTTAGTTTGCCCAGCCTTCTCGTCGCCTGAACCCCCGCGCCTCGGCTGCCGCACCTGGGACGGCCCGGGCCGCCCCTACACACACACACACCTCCCCCGAGTTGCGTACACCTCCAGCTCTTGCCGCGAAACCAGGGGTCCCTGGTGGCGCCCCAGCGACCAGCTTTCATCTTTTTTCCATCCCATTTCTCCTCGCAGTCTTTTTTGTTGTTGTTGTTGTTTTTCTGGCTGGATTTTTTTAAATCCCTTTAGTTGTCACCAGTCAATGCTGTCCCTAAACCTTTCCTGAGTCTCCTGATTTCTGGGATGGGTGGGGCAGCAGGGAAGGGAGATTTCTGAAGTTGGGACCTAAACTAAAGTTTTAGGCTCTGTAATTCACAGCTTTTTTTCCTTTCTCTCTCTCTCTTTTTTTTTTTTTTTTTTTTTTTTTTTTGCCACTGATCTCCTTTTTCCCTCTCTCTGTTACTCTCCGTAAGGCCACGTTTAGGGTCATGTAAAATCCCAACCCTCCAGTCTCTGAAGTCCGGGCGTATAAGCAACACCTCGGACTCTTTAAACCAGTTTTAGTTCGGAGATGCTTTCCATGATTAAAGAGGTATGTCAGATGAGGACAGACCAGAATGCAGACCTTATTATAAGACTGGTAAGGATATTCGCCCTGAGGTTTGGGGGTGGAGCTCTTATACCCAGAAGGCATGTCTCTGGTTTCTTTTTTTTCCTCTTTTCAAGTACACGTTGATAATGACTTGTGTTTTCACTTAGCAGAACTGGGAAGAAAAAGCTTAGAAGACCTATAGATTCATACCCACCATGTACTATGCAAGTTAAAGATTTTTAGAACTTTGTTTTCAGAGAACTGTGTGTAGGGTAGTTGATTTAGAAGGCCTTCTTTTACAGTGTGGTTGTAGCATACATTTTGGGTTATGCTAATAAACTCCAGACTCATGGAACCTGTTAGTATATCATGCAATTGAGCAACATACTAAGCAACATACAATAAGAATAAATAATTAAATTAGAGACCTAAAGTGACCTGTTATTGGAGAGAGTACATGCAAGCCTTAAAATCATAGGGTTGGCAGTCTGGAAATAAGCTGGTTTTCTCCTTCATTTAATCTGTGAGTTTATGAGATTTATTGACACATACGAATATGTACTTCTGGTTTCAGTGCTTCGTAGCTGGAAGATAGTTTAGAAGTGCTTTGGTTTGTAGTTTGTTCATTGGAATAGGGATAAGAAATAGGAGATTTTTGGTGTGAATTATGTAATTTATTTCATAGTTGTCTGTTTGTGTATATATATGTACATATACACACACACACATTCAATCCAACCAAGTAAATACATAGCTTACACAGTTTTTGCTTCTGATTATATAAATGTGAACACAAGATGCCTAGCTATTTATAGCAGCTGAAATGGTTAATACATTTTTGTTTACTTAAGCACACGTGGGACAAGAGACTAGGGCCAAAGTACAATATTTAAACAAGCCAAATTAAGTAAATTCTTTTTTAAATCAAGGATTTACACACCATTTTATACCTAGTGCAAGCTTCTTTCCCATTGGAAAATGAGTGTTGAGTGATTAGAAATCCTGTACAGGTTTAAATTTTTAATATAGACTTGAACCAGCTAAAAGATCAGCTTTTGTACCCTCTGTCTGAACTGCCACTGAAGAAAACAAAGCATATTAGTACAAAGAATCTTATTAGTCCTCACACATTATGCCTTGGCAGTATCTGAAAATAGCTAGGAGAGACAGTCATAGAAACAGTTTGGCAGTCTCCAGTGGCAAATGTTTGTTCTGTGATAGAAATTAAAAATTAAAGCCGGGCACAGTGGCTTATGCCTGTAATCCCAGCACTTTAGGAGGCCGAGGCAGGCGGATCACCAGAGGTCAGGAGTTCGAAACCAGCCTGGCCAACATGGGGAAACCCTGTCTCTACTGAAAATACAAAAGAATTAGCCAGGCCTGGTGGTGGGTGCCTGTAATCCCAGCTACTCAGAAGGCAAAGACAGGGAGAATTGCTTGAACCTGGGAGATGAGGGTTGCAGTGAGCCATGATTGCGCCATTGCACTCCAGCTTGGGCAACAGAGTGAGACGCCGTATCAAAAAAAAAAAAAAAAATGTTTAAGAGTCATAGGTAGTAGATTGCTTTTGTATATGCATTGAGGGAGGCTCCTGAGATTACCATGGAGAAGTCAGTTTTAGATTAGTTTCTGCCAGTTACTGTTCTGATTAACAGCCTGAAAGTGATATCCAGTTATTCTACAGTTGCTCAACAACCTGACAGATATTTGAATATTTTATTATTGAAAGGAACCTTAAAGAAAGCCAGATCATTTTATGGGCTTATAACATGTTGATATTTCATATTAATGGAAAATGTAACAAGTAGTACTTTTCAAAAAATCTTAAAGCCAAATTTCTGGCTATAAAACAGATACAAGTTCAGTTTTGCTTTTAATTTGTATTTTCATCCTCAAATAAATTAAGCAGTTTTGTAGTAGAATAATTCAGAAGCAGTAATTGTTAGTTTCTATGCCTAGCCAATATCTACTCTCATTTCACAATAGTAGTTTTAGGATTAAATTTTGTTTTGTGAGATTTTTCCATAAAGCTGAACATACGCTTATTTTTAGTCACACATTTTTAAAGTTCAGCCTCTTAAAAATTAAATAATATTCACAAGATAGTTTGGTGGAGAAAACGCATTTTGGCAAACAGTTGGCATTTACTATATTTGTCAATATTAGATTTCGTAACAGGTCAGGCACTTGGCCATCATATGAGGAAAGTTTGGTCATGTAAAAAAACAGTGAATATGGGAGGAGAAAGAAAACCAGATTTGTTAAGCGTCTACTATATCAGATTCATTAATTTTTTATCTTCGTAATTCCTTGGTAAAGTTGGTAAGTATTCCTGTTCTATGTGGTGAGTCTGGGGTTTAGGTATTTTAGGTAAATTGGCTTGGATCGCACATATATCTGGTAAATCCAGACACATGTTACCACAAAGCTTATCTATACTATTTCTAGTAAACTGCATTCTGTGATAAACTTGTAGAGAATCTTTTATTTTTCATACTCACCAAGAACAACTTGTAGAGAATCTTACTGTTATTTTTCTTGTTTTTTGTTGTAGTTGTTTTAGCGAAGTTTCACTCTGTTGCCCAGGCTGGAGTACAGTGGTGCAGTCTCTACTCACTGCACCCTTTCCAGAGTAGCTGGGATTACAGACACATGCCACCACGCCTGACTAATTTTTGTATTTTTAGTAGAGGTAGGGTTTCGTCATGTTGGCCAGGCTGGTCTCGAACTCCTGACCTCAAGTGACCTACCCACCTCCATCTCCCAGAGTGCTGGGAGTACAGGTATGAGCCACCACAGTGGGCTGTTGTTTTTCTTTATACTCTCCCTGGTTCCCATAAATCCAAGTATTTAAACCCTCATGAAAACATGTTTTCTGTTGGGTGTGGTGGCTCACACCTGTAATCCCAGCACTTTGGGAGGCCAAGGCAGGCAGATCACCTGAGGTCAGGAGTTCAAGACCAGCCTGGCCAATGTGGTGAAACCCCGTGTCTACAAAAATACAAAAAAAATTAGATGGGCATTGTGTCGGGTGCCTGTAATCCCATCTACTCAGGAGGCTGAGGCAGGAGAATCGCTTGAAGCCGGGAGGCAGAGGTTGCAGTGAGCCGAGATCACGCCACTGAACTCCAGCCTAGGCCGTAGAGCAAGACTCCGTCTCAAAAAAAAAAAACATGCTTTCATAGCTTTATGTTATGCTGCCCAAAATGGTGGCCACAAGTGGCTAATTAAATGTAAATTAATTAAAATTAGATATCATTAAAAATTGAGTTCCTTAGTAACACTAGCCATGTATAAAGTGCTCAGCCCCACCATGGCTACCATTTTGGACAGTACACTTTGTATTTTTTCAGATTGTGAGATTGGCATGCCACCTACAGCACTAACAAGGCACCTTACAGAGTATTTCTGTCTTCCCAGAGAGTTATTGAAAACACCATTGATTCTAAAGGTCAGCAGAGGAGGAGGAGGAAGAGGAGAGGAGGAGGAAACTTCATTGATAAGCTTAGTATCTCTAAATTGCAGACAGCCCTATGAGATTTGCCTAAAGTGACATATCTAGTAGGAGGCAACACTAAAAATTCAGGTTTACCTAGCCTCAGTCCTTCACGTTATATCACAACATGGTCTATTCAGTTTCACATGTTTACAGAATCATACGTTCTGAAGACTTAAATAGCTAGTATAATTTTTAACAATTTGATTTAATATTGCAATGGAACTTCACTAAAACTGTGCTTTTATATTTTTGGAATGGCAAAAAACTTGACGTTTTTGATAGTTTATCTCACATTCTTAAAACTTAGATATACTGCTGCTCCCTTATTCCAGGTAGAGTATTCTTTGACATACACCGAAGCTATGTTTTTTCCAAACTTATATTTTAAATTCCACTGAATGAAAAAAGTCACATAAGAGGAACCCCATGAGATACCTAATATTTAGGAGGTTGGGGAAAAGAACACATGTATCTTGGAGGACAAATACTTCATTTTCAACTTTATCTTCAGCATGTTCACTCTTAACACTTTTTGTGAAGTTAGTGTTAAGAGTGTTTTTGCAGAGTTCCAACATAAAGACTGGACCCAATCTCACCTACTTCTTCATGGATGTCCTAAAGTTGACACTACCCACCTCTCATCCCAGCTTCTTGCTTTGAAGCCAACTGGCTTTGTTGTTTGGGCTAATGCCCATATCCATTTATTACCTACCAGTGAGATAAAAGGGTTAGCTAAGTTTCCTGATGAATTTTTATATTCTGCTCCAATTTCTACTTGTTATTTCCATTATAACTACTTAGTTGGCTTCTCTGAATTCAGCATC